GTGATAGCTGAGAGGAAAAGACCATACAGAGTTCCAAGTAAGGTTTAACTACTGATGACAGGAGAGTAAGATTTCTTTTTTTTTTTTTCATTCTATTTCACCTGGCTTTGTTGTTGAAGTCATATATATAAAAGCATCACAACAGCATGTGTATTCAACAGTAAAAATTCAGGGTGCCTTGGAAAAGAGGAAATTTGGATGCAGAATCCCCTTCCAGTGCTCCCTAAATGCCATTTTAACTTGGATTCTGCAGCTACTAACATTATTAAACATTACTCACATAATAATGTCTTAGGTAGTCACTTCAAGAAAAACAAAATACATATAACCAGTATGTACACGTGCAAATCTCCCAAAGTCAGCAGAAATTGCTTTTTACTGGCTATCAAATGAGGTCAGAAAACTCTTACAGGCTATGAATGACTCTGGCAGTGATGTCAAAACCAACCCCACTTCAGGTCAGCTTTACTGCACAAACTTCTTTTCCTCCTACTCTTTGTCCTTTTCCACTCTCCCTAAGAGTACACGACCTGCTTTGTGAAGAGGAAGGCATACATGCCAAATCTCTCAGAAGAGCACAGTGGCACAGGTAAATATATTAATTTTTTCTGAACATGTATGATTTCACAGGTTTCAGATTTTTCAACTATGAAATTTAAATGAAAAATAAAAAGAATGTGCGCAAGCTTCCCAATTAAATCATGTAAGAACCGAAGACACAGGATGTGAAGTCACTCCCAAAGCAGGGTTGAGAGTTAAATGTTCATCATATATAGCACTGCCCTTGAAACAAAAGCAGTAGTTATTTTAAGTAACCATAAGCAATACTCATGTGCAATTCAAAGGAGATCGGATATAAAGAGATAAAGATTAGAGTACAGCAATACGGCTTTCATTATACAATGTAATCCAGCGTGTCTGATGTAACTGGATGTGACACAAATGTAAATAGCAACAGGTTTGGGAATACGGGGTTTTCAAAGTCTAACAAGCTTTTAAGCACAACTTTTAGTAAGTTCAAAAACAATCTTTGAAACAATGTTTTTCAAAAAGAACCCTCCGCATACTTGCTAGAAGTATAATATGCATAAATAATTAGAGATGTTATGCAAGATCAAACAGAAGTGCTATTTGAGAAAGAACGGAATATTTAACCTCACAAATAGATGCAGGCACCAAACACAAAAATCCTGGCCATTTGGACATGCAGATACATTTTAAGGCAAAATGGGACAAGTTTAACATGAGGCTTAAATAGGAAACTTGCTTCAGAATAGGAAATAATTACAGACCAACCACACAGTGACTTAGCACTCCATTTCCTTACTGAACTACTATACTGGTATGTAATTTGCATTATATCTAAGGAAGATCTTTCACTTTTAAGCATCAATGATTTTATTAATAGCTTCTGGAATATTAAATAGAAATTAACATGACAAAAACTACCCACTTATTCAACTAATGCTTAGACTATTCAAAAAAAATGTATTTGGGATTAAAAAGAAAAACCTATGTTTTGCTAAACACCATGTTCTTAAAATAGTGATCCAAGAGCTTCAAAGTGAGCAACTAATACTATTTCCAAGATGAACTGCATTTTTGTAATATGATCACACAGTACAACGAGCAATGGGAAATTTGGACATGAATTTTAGGAGGTGCTGCTATAAAATACCATTGTTTTCTACACTTTCAAAGAGCAATAGCTACGATGAGGCCTTGACTACCTCAGTTATTTCTCATAAAGAGGAAATTCATTTAGGTCCAGAAATATTTTTTTCCTTTCAAAAGAAAAAAAATTGTTTATCCATGAACCACTGTAATGGTTTTTTGTTTGTTTTCTTTTTTATTTACTCTGAATTGCAGAATCCCACCAAGTGTTTTCAATAATGTGTTGATGTTTTCAGGTTACTACCATGTGTACCATAGATTAACTTTTGGCATGTACTGGCAAAGCTCTTCAGGAAATCAATCTGTCCATCTCCTGCAATATCCCAGGACGCAAGTCCTGTATGCCCCAATTACAAACCACTGAACCCACATCAGTGTTTGAAATATTTTAGTCTGCCTGTCTCCATCTCTATTCCTCTGTTCCTCCTTCTTCCTGCTCTTACACCTGTATTCCCCCACATCACCCTAAAAATACTTTATTTGGCATAATATGTATTTGATCCTATCATATATTTTTGGGTTTTTCAAATTACTCAAACACATTAAGGATTGTATAAGTATAAATGATCACTTTAGAAAGTAATTCAAATATATGAGAATTTTCAAGGATAGTGCATGGAGAATGCCTACCTAAACATAGGCTATTTGCATAAATCTTCAAGATTAAATTAATAACACACAGATGAGGAGTTAGTGAATGCTGAGCCTGTGTGAAGGGCTATTTGGGAAACTGTGTTCAGCAAATGGCAGCAATGAACCCCTGCATTAGTAGCTTCTTACACTATATTCCAGCCATGCTAAAGCATTCAAGGGCAGCTCCTCCCTCCTCCTTCCCTCACAAGGTCAAAAATATTAATTTAAAACAAAAGAATGAAAGAGAGGGGAAATTCCTAGAAGCTGGCACTGGCCTTGCCTGACTAGTAGGTGAGACTGGTAGTTTTGGCTGATCCGCTCAGTCTCCTGAGCGAATACCAAGCAGCGTCAGTCCACCTGCACTGCAACGCATCAGAGATGCCACTCAGGAACAGCCCTGGCAAGGGGCTTTACCCAGGTATCATGTGGCAGACATTTTGCAGGCTGCCTGACTGGCAGGCAAAAGGTGGCAATGACACTCCGAGTCCCATCCCGTGCAGGATTAATCAGGCTGAACTACCAACAGTTTGATCATTTTAAGTCACCTGCTCAACATTTCCTTATAAAAGGAACGCTGTGAGGAACACTATCAGACTATCAGCGACAAGTGCAAGACAATTTAAGAAGCAGCCAATTTTTCCACTGCAATGAAAGCATGTCTAGCCTCCAAGACTCCCGACTCAGACCCTCATCTATTCTTTCACACCCATATGGTGTGAGTCTGAGCCTGCTCTCAGCTATGGGACTGGTCAGCTCGCCTTCTCCCCAACTGCTCTGCTATTTTAATCACACTGCGCTTGAAATTAAGCGTGACGGTCTCTCCACTACCGACCGAGTCAATCACTGGTGCAGCCCCAGCACTGTCTGTGGCAGCCAATAGCACACATACACGTAAGACAGACAGCAGAGGACAGTTAGTCACTCAGCCTTTCAGAAAGTCACCAAATCATTCCTTACATTGGTCTTTAGGAGAGAAAGCAACAGGAGAGGCGTGATGAACTGAGAATCCCAACAAACCTTTTGGTACCACACGGGCATCGCCAGGTGCCGTGAGAAAGGACTACTATATAATCCCACCCCTGAACACCGAACCTGAAACCCAGACATCAAATTACAGCGACAGCTGGCAAGAGCCAGGGTGTCTCTAACTATGAAGCTTTAGCCCAATGCCACAAAATTTCTTATGTGAGTCATTCTGAAACGTCATGAAGATGACAACACAACTAAGTCTCGTGGTTTTCAGGTATGCAAATTTTACCATTGTGCTGTAAAACGAACCAATCAGCAACACTTGCCTGTGTATACAAAACACCACAAATGATACTGGAATTCAAACTTCACTCTCACTCAAGACCCAGTTGGAGTTGTGAAGCCGTGGCTGACCCAGAGCTTCAACCAGGCTGCAAACTGTTAAGTAATTCATTGCCAAGGTCAATTTGTAAAACTTACAATTGCTGTTTAAATTAAAAATCAATTCTGTATAATGTGAGTTAGATTTTTGACTGAACAGGATATGATGAATTCCACCACTCAAAGAAGGTTACATGAGAAGAATTTATGGTATTGAGTCTCCACATCTAGAACACTTTTTTTTTTTTTAATTTTGTTAACTGTTTAAGTGTATTTATGGTCCTCTAAGAGCAAATACAGGTATTTTCTTTATCTGAAATTAAAAAACACAAATGGCTTTACTGTGCAGCATTGCCTGCAAAATAAACTGGACATCCTGACTCAATTATTTTTCTTAAGAACAAACTATATGAAGTTATCATTAGTGACCAACACAACTAGTTATCTGATCAGCCTTTAAAGAAAATAAAACGGGGGGAGATGTAAAGTTGATTATGAGAGAGCTGAGAAAAATAAAAAATAATGCTGAATGAGGACTGCCGATTTGCCCATATAAACTTCGGGTCTTAAGGTTAATTTTTTTAATGTTCTTCCACTCCTTCCTGCAGCCTGCAGCTCTGCTGAAGGCTAGATGCATTTGAACCACCTTTTCCCATGAAGCCCACCTTGACAGAAACCTAATTTTTTATTTCTTAAAATACGAAACACTGACTAATGGAACCGCGACGAGTGGGAAACCCGTAACGTAGAATTCTCCGGAGTTCCTGATGCGTAATTTACAGGCTGGTTCATTGCTCGGTGTTCGGCGGCAGGTCTGTTCCGCCCTGGGCACTCCCGATCTGCCGCGCTGCACCCGCACTGCCGGAGGGCCATCTTGCTCCGGTCTGACCCACAGGAAATTAAATGCACCGAGCCTAAGCCGTGGCCCACCTGAAGACGCCCAGCCCAGGAGTTTTAAAAGTTATTTTTGTTCGCTTTTCACGCACAACGCCGAAGGGCTCCGCTGCCGGAATCTTTCACGTTCAGCTTCTCTGGCAAGAGAGCCTCACCGAGCTCACCAGCCCGGCACGGCACGGCACGGCGGGAGGATCTACCCCGACCGGGGTCCCCGCGACTCAAGGCCGGGAGTAGGCGGCCGCCCTCGGGCGAGCCGCGGGGCAGGGCAAGCCCCGGCTCCCTCCCCGCCGCCCCCGCGCCGCCCCACACGCCTCCACCATGTTGTCTCGGTGCGCAGCGGCGCGGAGGAGGGACCGCAGCCGCCAGCCCGGCTCCGCGGGGGCCGCCCAGCTCCTCCCCGCGGCCTCCGGTTCGAGCGCGGAGGCGCTGCCCCGGCCGGCAGGCGCGGCGATCCCGACCCGGAGCGCATGGAGGGAAACGCGGTGCGGAGGAGGGGCCACGGTGCCCACCGGAGATCCCGGCCATAGGGGCGGGGAGTCTCCTCCTCCTCCTCCTCCTCCCGCAGCGAGGCTCCAGCTCCCCGCACGCACCGGAGCGCTCGGCTCCCTCCTCCTCGTCCCTCCTCCCTTCCCCTCCTCCCCGCTTCCCTCCCCGGGTCGCCGCGGCTCCGGGAGGAGCGGGGGGGCCCCCGCTTCCTTCCCTCCCCCCCTCCTTCTCCCACCCGCCACGCCGAGGAGAGGCAGGTGAGGCCCCGGCCGCGTCCCCGCTCCGCCGCCCCACGGGAGCGGCGGCCGCGATGGCGGCGGCGATGGAGGCGCTAGGCCCCGGCCGCCCGCCCCCGGCCTCGCCCCGCCGCCGCGCCCCGGGGGCGGGGGGCGTCCCGCATCCCCGGCCCCTTCTCCTCCGCAGAAACTTTCTCGGCAACTTTCTCCCGGGCCCCAGCTCCTGCCCGCGGGGCCGAGGGGTCGGGCGGGCGGGAGCCGCGCTGGGCTGGGCGGGCTGCGTGGGGCGGGCTGCGGGCAGTAAGTTTGTGGGGGAGGGCCCCGTGACCCCTGCTCGGCCCGGGCCCCTCCCGGCCCCTGCCCGCCGCGCTGCCGCGGGCGCTGCGGGCCGGCTGCTCGGCCCCCGGCGGAGGCGGCGTTCACCGCCCGGGCTGGTGCTCGGCGTGAGCCGCTCCCGGGCGCGGGGACGGAGGATGTAAAAGGGCAAAATTCAGGAGTCGCCTGTAGCTTGGCCTGCGTGGTTTTATATTCTATTAGTTTTTCTTCCCCCCGCCCCACTGTTCTGGTTTATATGCTATTATCGAGCCTGAAACATGACCGCTGTACGTTTCTGAGTCATTAATTTAAATGTTCAATCATCACACTTCATCAAGGCTCCTTGTCTTCCTTACAATTAGAAAAAAAAATGTGTTGGACGCACACAGGCCCCTGTTCCTGCGGAGGCTGCACATAACTTTCTGCTCTCTGTGGACCCGCAGGCTTGATGTGCTTTAAGTTGTGTGCTCAGACCAAGGCTAGTGTGACTTCTCCAATATTCAGTATTACAAATATGTGAAGTTTATGATATGGTTATTTATTATATTAATATATGGGCTACTACGTGTCGTGTATGCATGTGATTATGATCGTCTTGGCACTGGGAAAACTAGGACAGAAATATTTCTGAAGCTCATGTTGTAAAGGTATATTCAGATGTACCTGCTGGATTTAACCCTGGGCAGAGGCCAGTCATTAATCAAAAATTGGATGTTTGGATTTATTTTAAGTGGCAGAATGTTCCAAAACCAGTTTTGAAGGTTGGAGTGCGTTCACACGGAAAGTGTAATGATTTTCAATTACTATAACTCATAGATAGCTGAATGATTTTTCAGGCAGATTTTGCAAATGAAATTGATCTTAAGTCGGGAGCCAGATACGAAAATTTACTTTAGAGTCTTTTTCTTTCCTTTTTGTAAAGTAAGCATTGAAGAGGGATAGAATTGCCTTGTCAGTTACCTTTGCAGTACCTCTGTTTGTAGGTATAGTTCACCCATAGCGATGTTTTTGTTGTCTTCATAGAAGTAAGAACGTTTCCTTTCCAAACAACAAAACCTCGCACTTCCACTCTTATTTCTGATGTGTATCTGTAAATTTAGTTATAGCAGGTTCCTACTGAGCATAAGCATAGAGTGGAGACTGTGTGTGTTCTGCACAGCCAGGGTGTTGTGGTTAATTTTGGGACAAGGTAGCATCTGTGATGGCAACAGGGACAGCAGCATGGGCACTGTGCTTCCGCTGAATTTCGAAGAAAAAGATCCTGTGGTACCAGGTGTGACAGTAGTTAGTAACAGCAATTGCCAGTAATTAATTATTCCACGTGCTTTATTAGCTTTATTTCTTTAACAGGTGCAGCTCAAATAGAGCTATAATCTCTGTGTGCCTTCAGTCTCTCTAATAACTCTTTTGGCTGTTAGAAGATTTCAAATAAATTTGGCAGCAGAGGTCTCCCAGGTGAGCAGTTTCTACAAAATTTCTGGAAGTAAGGAAGCCAGGTAGAACGGCGCATTTAACCTGCACGCCAGAGAGTTCACAGCAACGCTTACCTCAAGCTGGAAATTGCTGCAGGAAATGGGGCCTCCCTGGTTTTGCTGCTTGCAGAGCTACTGGTCCAGTTTTCAATAGTTATTTAATAACTGAACCCCTGTACCATTCTATCTGGAATGAGGCTGGTGAGCCCAAGGTAGCTTTAATCTGTATTTTGTATTACCATGACAGATTTTCAAGGAGATTCTTGTTACTCAACAACAGTTCTTTGGGTACAAAACATATGAGTGGAACTGGAAGTATACTTAAATTGCTGTATTATTTTGAAATAGCTGGAAAAATACTTAATACGTTTTTGGCGTGCTGCATACTGTAATAATTCTACTGTAATAGAATTATTGAAAAACTTCACATTATAGGGATTTTTATCAATATTCACGCAGCAGAGCAGAGAACTATTCCTGTGCACCAAAGAAATGCTCTTTATTTTGTGCTTTGTGCACTTCTGCAGCTCCTGAAGAATGAAATTGTCACTCTGTTCAGTCTATAAATCATGGCTGTCATGTGACAGCGATGCAAAAGTCTGCAGTGTGGCACATATCAGATTATGTGGTCAAAGTTTACTTTATGAACAAACTGGCTGCGTGGTTTTACTTTTCCATATGCACTACCTGTGGACAAAAGCTGTACATTTTCAACAGATAATTCCTTGTGTTCAAAACATTAGTTAAAAGAAATACATTCTTTCATTCATATTCCCTACTTGGCATCCAACTGCTTTGCCACGTAGTTTGATCACACTTTGAGTAAGGTACCTTGATGTTAATTTAAAAATTGGTGTCAGTACTAACACAAAAATGACTTTAGGAACGCGTCCTTACTCTGCTGTGTCGCATCAAGCAGCCTTTTTCAGGTAGGACACGTTCTGTGCATATGTACACGGCCTGTGGTTTCTGTGAAGTCCTCCTGAAAGGTTTCAGGCTTCTGGTGTGAGTCCTGTGCCTGTGGCTGGAACAGATTGATCCATGAGGGAGAACTGCAGTTTCTCTACCTACTGTAATAGAATGAGTTAATTTTTGTCTTGGAGGAGCCACCTCCAAATACAAGTAGGTAACTCTAGTCCCAGGATTTATTTCATTTCTGTTCTCCTTGAGAGTGCCAGGAGGAGGCTGTTTTATAGTGATGGATTTTATTATGTGATAATCACTATCTTTATATTTTTTTTAAATACTATCTGCTTTACAATTGCCATATGGGAACTTCTTTCAATCAGTACAGTCCCTGGCTGCATTCACACCAGTGATTAGAGCTGTAGGGTTCCAGATTGTATCACCAATTGCCAGGTTTTGAAGGTAAACCTGGTTAACTTCCCATGTGTATGCTTAGTTTAGTAGAGAAAATATAATACTGAAAAGATGCTGTCAACTAACTGTAGGACAAGTTTAATTTTACTTAATAAGAGGTCGTTCTTACTGCCTTTTGCATTTATGGTGGTTTATCCTTGATGGTGCCAGTGCATCAAAACAGAAACTGGCACCAAAGTAATTGAAATGAGTGGGACTGCACCCTTAGGTAAAGTTAACACACATGGCTGATTGCAGGATCAGAGATCAAGATGATAGTAACTTTAATGCTAGAAATTGAGTAAGTAAACACTATTACTTATGCATGAGTTTTGTTCCTTTTAAACACATATTCTTTGAAAATGTAAAGGGTGGCTGGAAAAAGGATAGAAAACGCTCTCTGTTGTCATTTTGGATAGGGACTGCATAGAGCACTGGGTTTCCTGCTGTGTCCCCTAAGTCAGTGCACCAAAGCCATGCACAGCTGAAATCAAGCCCTCAAGCTGAACTTCTGGCTAGCCCTGGCTTGTATCCCAGCCCCACAGCTCAGTGGGCTACTGCTGTAGAGATCACCACTAACTGCATTTAAGGCTGTGTTGACTGTTGTGGCCAAGACTGGGGTTTTGTTTCGATTTTTCTTGACTGTAGTATTAGGTAATGTTATAGGGCATGGTTGGAGAATGCTGAGGAAGTAAAACCTCAGACTGGAATAATTTGTATTTTAGCTTCTTGAACACTGTTAGTTGTTGAGTAGGGAATTGGATAACTTTTTTTGTTAACCTGGCTGTGTTTTATCTTTGTATTTTTGGAAGGCAAATGCTTTTGTAGTAATGTTACATGAGACTTCAATAAGTAACAATATTGACTGCACCTATGTCTTAAATGTTTATGTAAATTTTGAATTCTGATGGTGATACTGAACATCAAATAATTTGTCTTTCAACTTGTCTGAACTTCAGGTAGATGAAAAACTTATATGGCTTAAAATGTTTCTGTGGTTTTCTTCACACCAGAGGTCTAGAGAAGTCTGGGCAAAATAAATGATTCTTCAGAAGTGATGAGTCCTTTTAGTTGAAATTTTAGCGTTATCTAGACCAAGCTTACAAGAATGAATAACTTTGTTTAATTCCATTGACACTGAAGTTGAGTAAACACACCCACACAAGTAAATCTTTGTAGATCAGGGCCTTTAACTTTGTTTTAGAGAAACTTTCAGGAGAACTTTGTGGCATTAATCACACATTTAAACTCAGTCTTTATATTGGAGGGGTTTGATTTAGTAGGGTTAAGTTCCTTTGCACATGCCCAAAGTACTCTGTAGTGTTGCAAAACTGAGACAGTAGTAGTGTTTTATTCATGATGTGAATTATGGAGTATAAATGCAGTCAGGCCTCAGGTATGCTTCCCAGGACTGACAGCCCCGGTAGAAAAGAAGGGTTGGAGTGGAGGATGGTGTTCATGTTCCAAATGTTTGCCCATAGTTCAGGCAAACATTTTCATATTGCATGCAAACTTCAGAAATAGTGTCTGGGCTAAAGATTTTGAAATTTCCACCCTACCTAATGGCCTCACAATTGTAAGAGAAGGCAGTGCTTGTGTGAGGTATTTAAAGAGTAATTAGAGGGTGCTATGGATCTCTTGTGTATTGCAATTGTATAGCATTATAACTGTTTTGGCAGTCAGCCAGGAAAGGGAGACTTAAAACAAATTAATAGTGAACAATCCAGTTTTAATAAGTTATTTTAAGTATGGTTAGATAACAACATTAATATTTATGCTTGAAGTGTGACAGAGAAAAAAACAGGTCTCAGTTGTTATGTGTATCTTCTTGCTTTTCAAGAACATTTAATTGGAAAGTAATATCATTACTGACAC